AGATTGAGGATTCAAAAGGATAGAAAAGATCTGCAAAAATAAAACCAAACCAGTTCAGCTCACCCAGTCCGTACAGTGTGCTAGGGTTGGCCAATTCAAAGGCTATGAGTAGTCAATGTGATTGGAAAAAAGATGAGAATTCAAATTACAGATTGAGGATTCAAAAGGGTAGAAAAGATCTGCAAAAACAAGACTGAACCGGTTCAGCTAACCTAATCCGTACAGTGACCTAGGGTTGGCTGATACAAGTGCTAGTAGTGGTCAATTTGATTGGAAAAAATAATAGGATCCAAATTAGGGAATGAGGATTCAAATGGGTAGAAAAATTCTGCAAAAACAAGACTGAACCGGTTCAGCTAACCCAGTCAGTACAGTGAGCTAGGGTTGGCTGATACAAGTGCTAGAGGTGGTCAATTTGATTGGAAAAAATATCATGATTCAAATTAGAGATTGAGGATTCAAAAGGGTAGAAAAGGTCTGCAAAAACAAAACTGAACCGGTTCAACTCACCCAGTCCGTACAGTGCACTAGGGTTGGCCGATCCAAGGGCTACGAGAGGTCAATTTGATTGAAAAAAAATATGAGAATTCAAATTAGAGATTGAGGATTCAAAAGGTAGAAAAGATCTGCAAAAACAATACTGAACCGGTTCATCTAACCCAGTCCGTACAGTGAGCTAGGGTTGGCTGATACAACTGCTAGAAGTGGTCAATTTGATTGGAAAAAATATCAGAATTCAAATTAGAGATTGGGGATTCAAAACAACTGAAAAGATCTGCAAAAACAAAACTGAACCGGTTCAGCTAACCCAGTCCATACAGTGTGCCAAGGTTGGCCAATTCAAAGGCTACTAGTGGTAAATTTGATTGGAAAAAAGATGAGAATTCAAATTCGACATTGAGGATTCAAAACTGTAGAAAAGATCTGCAAGAACAAGACTGAACTGGTTCAGCTAACCCAGTCCGTACAGTGAGCTAGGGTTGGCTGATACAAGTGCTAGAAGTGGTCAATTTGTTGGGAAAAATATATCAGGATTCAAATTAGAGATTGAGGATTCAAAATGGTAGAAAAGATCTGCAAAAACAAAACCGAACCAGTTCAGCTAATACAGTTTGAACAGTGCGCTAGGGTAGGCCGATTCAAAGGCTACGAGTGGTCAATTTGATTGGAAAAAAGATGAGAATTCGAATTAGAGATTGAGGATTCACTAGGGTAGAAAAGATTTGCAAAAACAGAACTGAACCGGTTCAGCTAACCCAGTCCATACAGTGAGCTATGGTTGGCTGATACAGGTGCTACATGTGGTCAATTTAGTGGGAAAAAATATCAAGATTCAAATTAGAGAGTGGGGATTCAAAAGGATAGAAAATATTTGCCAAAACAAAACTGAACCGGTTCAGTTAACCCAGTCCATATTGTGCACTAGGGTTGGCAGATTCAAAGGCTACGAGTGGTCAATTTGATTGGAAAAACGATGAGAATTCAAATTAGAGTTTGAGGATTCAAAAGGGTAGAAAAGATCTGCAAAAACAAGACTGAACCGGTTCAGTTAACCCAGTCCGTACAGTGAGCTAGGGGTGGTTAATACAAGTGCTGTAAGTGGTCAATTTGATTGGAAAAAATATCAGGATTCAAATTACAAATTGATGATTCAAAAGAGTAGAAAAGATCTGCAAAAACAAAACTAAATCGGTTCAGCTCACCCAGTCCGTACAGTGCGCTAGGGTTGGCCGATCCAAAGGCTACGAGAGGTCAATTTGATTGGAAAAAAGATGAGAATTCAAATTAGAGATTGAGGATTCAAAAGGGTAGAAAAGATCTGCAAAAATAAGACTTAACCGGTTCAGCTATCCTAGTCCGTACAGTGAGCTAGGGTTGGCTGATACAAGTGCTAGAAGTGGTCAATTTGATTGGAAAAAATATCATGATTCAAATTAGAGATTGAGGATTCAAAATGGTGGAAAAGATCTGCAAAAACAAAACTAAACCGCTTCAGCTCACCCAGTCCGTACAGTGCGCTAGGGTTGGCCAATTCAAAGGCTACGAGTGGTCAATTTGATTGGAAAAAAGATGAGGATTCAAATTAGAGATTGAGGATTCAAAATGTAGAAAAGATCTACAAAAACAAGACTGAACCAGTTCAGCTAACCCAGTCCGTACAGTTAGCTAGGGTTGGCTGATACAGGTGCTGGATATGGTCAATTTAATGGGAAAAATATCAGAATTCAAATTAGAGATTGGGGATTCAAAAGGATAGAAAAGATCTGCAAAAACAAAACTAAAGTGGTTCAGCTAACCCCGTCTGTACAGTGAGCTTGGGTTGGCTGATACAAGTGCTAGAAGTGGTCAATTTGATTGGAAAAAATATCAGGATTCAAATTAGAGATTCAGGATTCAAAAGGGTTCAAAAGATCTGCAAAAGCAAAACTGAACCGGTTCAGCTAACCCAGTCTGTACACTGCCCTAGGGTTGGCCGGTCCAAAGGCTACGAGAGGTCAGTTTGATTGGAAAAAAGATGAGAATTCAAATTAGAGATTGAGGATTCAAAAGGGTAGAAAAGATCTGCAAAAACAAGACTGAACCGGTTCAGCTAACCCAGTCCGTACAGTGAGCTAGGGTTGGCCGATACAAGTGCTAGAAGTGGTCAATTTGATTGGAAAAAATATCATGATTCAAATTAGAGATTGAGGATTCAAAGGGGTAGAAAAGATCTGCAAAAACAAAACTGAACCGATTCAGCTCACCCAGTCCGTACAGTGCACTAGGGTTTGCCGATTCAAAGGCTACGAGTGGTCAATTTAATTGGAAAAGAGATGAGAATTCAAATTAGAGATTGAGGATTCAAAAAGGTAGAAAAGATCTGCAAAAACAAGACTGAATCGGTTCAGCTAACCCAGTCCGTACAGTGAGCTAGGGTTGGCTGATACAAGTGCTTGAAGTGGTCAATTTGATGGGAAAAAAATATCATGATTCAAATTAGAAATTGGGGATTCAAAAGGGTAGAAAAGATCTGCAAAAACAAAACTGAACCGGTTCAGCTAATACAATCCGTACAATGCGCTAGAGTTGGCCGATACAAATGCTAACAGTGGTCAATTTCATGGGAAAAAAGATGGGAATTCAAATTAAAGATTGAGGATTCCAAAGAATAGAAAAGATTTGCAAATACAAAACTGAACCGGTTCTGCTAGACCAGTCCTTACAGTGAGCTAGGGTTGGCTGATACACATGCTAAAAGTGGTCAATTTCATGGGAAAAAATATGGGTATTCAAATTAGAGATTCAGGATTCCAAAGAATAGAAAACATCTGCAAAAACAAAACTAAACCGGTTCAACTATACCAGTCCGTACAGTGAGCTAGGGTTGGCTGATACAAACCCTAAGAGTGGTCAATTTGATGAGAAAAAATATGGGAATTCAAATTAGAGATCGAGGATTCAACAGGATAGAAAAGATCTGCAAAAACAAAACTGAACCGATTCAACTATACTAGTTCGTACAGTGAGCTAGGGTTGGTTGATACAAATGCTAACAGTGGTCAATTTCATGGGAAAAAATATGGGAATTCAAATTAGAAATTAAGGATTCCAAAGGATAGAAAAGATCTGCAAAAACAAAACTGAACCGATTCAACTATACTAGTTCGTACAGTGAGCTAGGGTTGGTTGATACAAATGCTAACAGTGGTCAATTTCATGGGAAAAAAGATGGGAATTCAAATTAAAGATTGAGGATTCCAAAGAATAGAAAAGATTTGCAAATACAAAACTGAACCGGTTCTGCTAGACCAGTCCTTACAGTGAGCTAGGGTTGGCTGATACACATGCTAAAAGTGGTCAATTTCATGGGAAAAAATATGGGTATTCAAATTAGAGATTCAGGATTCCAAAGAATAGAAAACATCTGCAAAAACAAAACTAAACCGGTTCAACTATACCAGTCCGTACAGTGAGCTAGGGTTGGCTGATACAAGTGCTTGAAGTGGTCAATTTGATGGGAAAAAAATATCATGATTCAAATTAGAAATTGGGGATTCAAAAGGGTAGAAAAGATCTGCAAAAACAAAACTGAACCGATTCAACTATACTAGTTCGTACAGTGAGCTAGGGTTGGTTTTTTTTTTTTTGGGAGAGGATTCAAAATAGGGAATACTACTAGACCAAAAGGGTGAACTCCGCTTTTCTGTATTCTATTGTATTGACCACTTTTCTTTTCATAAAATTGGTGTAGAACAGAGGAGTTATTTTCTTTTCCGGGTTCCTTCTGTTAGCTACTGATTCTGATACATTTGAGTTCTTTCCGGAAATTGGTCAATGAATAGTTTTAATTTTATATTTTATTCTTTATAATTACAAATTTGGCCATCTTCAGTTCTTGTTGCATGTTCTTGAGATTCTTTTCTTGTTCTAAAATTATACATGTTTGGGTTTTGTCACTTTTTAATGCAACGGTTTGGCTGATGAATTTTACGCTTCTTCAATGCAAAAACATTTTTGTTGTCTTATGTACTCGAATAATAAAACAGAAGAAATTAAGAGAAAAGTTATCACAACACTCCATATTTGGTACAGTCCAACACAATTTCTTTGGCCTTGACAAACGGCATCTACTGCATCTGAATTACCCTCCTCGGCCCATTCCTGTATTGTCTAATAAATAAATGTAAAGAAAATATTTCTAGTTGCTTATTAATGTTGATAATGTGCTTTCATATCAACTTGGTTTCATAATGATGTACTTTGTTAGTTTCCTTATTGTAAATTTTAAGAAGAAAGTTTGCACGTTTGATAGAGATGTCAATTATAACAATGTATCAGGCTATTTTCAAGCATATTTTACAAAAAAGAAAATAACTGATAACAGAGTGTTTTTTTTCTTCTATTTTTCTATTCATTGTTCCCTTTTGTGCCTTTCAGTAATCTAATGCATTACCTTGTATTTTATACTTCCAAAAGGCTCAGAGTTCAAGAAATTTTCTCTTCTTCTTGTTTATTTGTAGGTTGAGGGTGCCTGCAACAAGGGCGGTAGGGGTCCTAGTATTTGGGATGCCTTTTCTCACTCAAAAGGTACCTTTTCTTCATCAAGCTTATGATAATATCTTCTAGGACCAGAATTTTGCTTGACATTGTCAAATCTGATACTGTTTTTGGTTATGAAATTTATTATGTTTGTCTGGATTCATTAGGGACAATCATTGATGGAAGCAATGGTGACGTTGCAGTGGATCAATATCATCGGTATAAGGTTAGTAATAATAATTTTAGCCATGGTCAAATCTTTTTTTTTTTCTTTTTGGTCTTTTTGCACTAGATCAATGCTATCTTCCCAAAACTGTTAGTATTTGCAAAGTTTTCAATGTCTTTTCTCCATATTTATGTTGATGGGGAAGAATTAGTACAGATGTATCCATTTGGTTATGGCCTAGTCTGTTAGTAGTCTTTTCCTTTTGGAATGGCTTAGAATAACATGATCAGATTCTTTACACTTACCCATTCCTTCATTCTGATCATGTAGTTATGCAAGTTGGGATTTCAATTCATGCCAGTCATTTAACATGAATCATAAACCATTTAATGCTATACAGGAAGATGTTGAACTCATTGCCAAGTTGGGATTTGATGCTTATCGCTTTTCCATATCATGGTCGCGAATATTCCCTGGTATGCTACCCTTTGGTATCTTTCATGGAGTTCTTTCTAATGGTAAAAAGAGTAGGATATAATCAAATTAGATTCTGTATGGTTTTATGTTTAAAAGAATTACTTTGTCACTATTATTTCCTTCTTACAATAGCATTTATCTGGTCATTTGACTCTTCTTGACATCCTGCCTCTGGGGAAGTCATCTCTAGATTTAAATATAGTAATGCATGTGACTTGAATGGCGACTTGTATGATTGCTTCTTCTTAGCGTATATAGGATATAATAAATACTCAACAAATTGACATGTCTAAAACAATTTCTAGATTGAAGTGATCTGTCACCAATTTGGAAAGCTTGAATGGACAATGTTGCAATTATGTTTTGACGACAATTTGATAATTGATTCTTCAAGACAACTGAAGGATAGTTGTGGAAAATGTTTTCTGAGTTGTCTATTTAAAGTGGTAAAAACATTTTGAGATTACAATGTGACATGTTCTAAGTGGATATACCCAAGCACAGAATTCAGACAGGGACTTCAAAAAGTTTTTTAACTGTATGTGCATGTTCCATTTTCTCTCTTGGCTCAGCTTAATTTTGATGATGACTGTATATTTCTTATGGTTCTGTTTTTTTTTTTTTTTTTTTGGCAGATGGTTTGGGAACCAAAGCCAATGAAGAAGGGATTTCTTACTATAACAATATCATTAACAATCTCCTTGAAAAGGGTATGAATTTGCTTACATTCATTTCCTTCTAGTTGCATCGATGAACCATATTCAACAGTTTGTTCTTGCAGGTATCCAGCCTTATGTAACACTGTACCATTGGGATCTACCCTTGTACCTTCATGAGAATATGGGAGGGTGGTTGAATAAGAAAATTGTGTAAGTAATGTATCATTTAATCATCTATTTTATTTTATTTTATTTTTGACAATACCTTGATATCAAATAAGTTTCTCATGTTGTTTTTATGTAAAAAAATCTTGTGAAAAAATTAGTTTGCTACATTTCATTTGTCAAAATTGCAAACGTATAGAAATTAAAGATCTTGTGAAGGAAATAGTTTGCTACATTTCATTTGTAAATATTTCCAAACTTATATACATTTTGAAGTATTTTCATCTCCCTCTGAGTGAGTGTATGTCTAGAATTTTAATCCTAGTTTTGGGTGAATGCTCTTTGAACAATATGGACTACTGAGGATATATATATATATATATATATATATCAAGCATGCACCCTCCATGTGCAGCCCCATCCTACAAGTAGAGAGCTAGAAATATGTTGAGAGAGAGAGAGAGAGAGAGAGAGAGAGAGATAGGTGGATTTCCACCCTCCACCTTACAAACCAACAATGAAGTGGAGAAAGGAGATCGAACTCAGCACCTCTTGCAAACCAAACTCTAGTCCCATGTTAGACAGACCCACTAGCCCCAGAATCCTAAGTCGTTAGGAATGGGTCAACAATGTATATCAAGCTTACAATATTATGAATCAATCCACTAGAAGCGAAAATAGGTCTCTACCTTTTGGAGCTCAATCTATATCTAAAATGATGAGTTACTTTTATTGACCAACCCTGCATTGCTCTTTCTTTTGGCCAACCCTGCATTGTCTTTGTATCACTATTGTACTGCATGAGAGAAAAGCAAGTTTCTGATTAGTGTTTATATCAGGGTGACTAAATTTTAGGATGAGGCTTTATGGTGTGTGCTATTTGCAGATGATATTTCTTTGATTGGATAAACCAGAGCAGGGGTGAATGCTAAAAATTAGAGTCCATGGAGAAAAATTCAATCAAAATGGGTATAAAACTGAGTACTGAGAGAATACAATTATAACAAAAGAAGAAATACAAGTGTGGATGTGCAGAAAATTGAGGGTCAAAAGAATCCCAAAAGCGAAGATGACGTGGCTTATAGTAACTAACTCATATGCAAGAAGGTTAGGTGGCACCTGTTGGGGATAAAATGAGAGAGAAAGGACTAATGTGGTTACTATATTCAATGAAGATCAATAGATGTGCCAATAAGAATATTCCTTTTAGTGTGATTATTCTTGATTGGTTGGGAGTTTTGTACTGCGGGCTTTCTGGCATGGTGCTCTGTCTGTTGGTTTAGGTTTTCTCATTGGGCTTTTGTGTTTCTTCTGCTGTATTAGGTGTTTTATGGACTACTTGTCCCCATGATTCTTGTATTCCTTATGTTTTCTCGTAATAAATCTTATGCTTCTTATCAAAAAAACAAAAGAAAGATGCACCAAGTAGAAAGAATGACTTAATCATTTTAGAGGGTAGTGCCAAGAGAAGAGGAGACAAAAACACTCGGTGATAATACTCTGGGCAGCAAGAAAATTCAGGGTCTTATGGCTAATTTGAAAGGTTCTGTTATGGGCTACAAGTTGTAGCAATCTGAAAATCATCATACAGCAGTTTGCCTGCATCAATAATAGCAACAGGGGAAATCAAAAATTGGTTCACAATAAAAACCTTCGTTACTTTCAAGGAAAATAGAAATTATAGTAATTTTCTATAAACATTTATGTCATTGTTAAACAGTGTCCTCGTAGTCAATCAGATTTTGTGAAAATGCAGAGACTACTTCTCAGTCTACGCTGACACTTGCTTTGCAAGTTTTGGTGATAGAGTAAAGGACTGGATTACAATTAATGAGCCTCTTCAGACTGCCGTTAATGGTTATGGTATTGGGATATTTGCTCCTGGAAGACATGAATGTTCATCAACAGAACCATATTTGGTTGCACACCACCAACTGTTGGCCCATGCTGCAGCTGTTTCCATATACCGAAGCAAGTATAAGGTATACTGTTCAATTACTTTTTTTGGTCTCTTTCGCTTGGAGATTTTCATACTTTGACCAGATGACAGATAATGGTGTCTTTCTCCTTGTTACTTTTTTTATTATTGAAGAAGGTCCTGGTTTGTCATTGACTTCATCACTTAATTTATTATAGGCCAGATGTTGTTAACAAGGAAACTGATATATCAGTCAGCATTTCAGTAATTATGTAGCTTCCTTTTGTGTAAGATTAGATTGTGAAGAAGAATTTCACTAATATATCTTTTTTCTGTTCAAGGAGAAATGTCAATTTTAGTGTCTCCTTGCATAAACCTCCTAATGTATGAGTTGTAAATCCGTTCTTGATATACTAATTCTTTGGATCACGAGAAGGTGGAACCTTATGGGAAAGTGCATGAAGTCGGCTAAAGAACTGAAGAAACAGTGTGTAACTCTTCTTTAACTGACTTACCTGAGATTTTGAAATGAGTATATATGCCAATATTTTTTCCAGGGTGGGGGAGGGGGCCGGGGTTGATGGTGTGTTCTGTTAGGAGGAAGTGCTTATACATTTACCTGAAATTGAAATAATTCGTTTATGAGTTTCAAAATATACTCTAAAGTAGAATTGACATCATATGGGAAAGCATAAAGGTAAAAAAGCATACTTGAGAAGAAAATTTGATTACAAGAACTTATTGAAATTCCTATGCTAATCCCCAAACTCTAGCTTTAGATCTCTCTATCACTGTTTCTGGCTCTCTACCCCTTGTGTGTTTCTTACTTGCAAAAACAGAACTCCGAACAAGCCTATTTATAGAGAATAGGTAGGATTCCTAAAACCTTTTAGAATAAGGAAAGAGAACTTACCTTCCTAATCCTAAATCACTTTGGATTACTTTCCTAATCCTAAATTACTGAGGATACCAAAGGAAAACTGATTTCCTAATTCTAGTAAGAAATCCTGCGTGCACCATTCCTTTTACCCAGAACTTACTTTTTTCCTTGCAGCACCTTCTGTGGGGACTCATGAGAAAAACCAGGATGACTCCACTTCCAGCACCTTCTGTGGGGATTAGATTGAACTTAATGTGATATTTTCGTAGAAGCTCCTCCATTTCAAGTTGTGAAAATGTGAAGAATATCCCACATTGGAAAGTTGAGAAACCTAGCAAGGGCTTATAAGGAGTTGGGCTACTCCTCCCATTGCCAATTGGTTTTGGGGTGGAACCTCAACTTCCTTCACAAGTCATTTAAGTTTTTGCACAAACCAAAATCCCAACTAATTGGAGAAGAATTTAGGCACATTGTAGCAATGGGAGCATTATGAAAGACCAAAAGACAAGGATATGGGATGTATAAAGAATCCCATGGACAGCACACACCTCGAACCACTGACCACACTCTTGGAATCACAACCACTGTCATGTTAGCAGCACTTAATAACCATATCACCATTTCCCAAGTAAGCCCATATTTCTTCTCACCAATCACCCACCCCTAAGCCTCTCTTCTCTTTGATTCTAAACACTACTTCTCACTTGATCAAATGCACTTTTTCCTTCCTCGAAACCTTCTCACAAGAAGTTCCTCACTGATTCTCAAACCTCTTTGCCATTTTTCATGGAAATCTATAAGCGAGAGGTAATAAATGGGTAAACTGCTAAATGCAGATTGAATTAAGTAAGCCTTCCTCCCCATGAAAGGAAAGCTTCCTTCCAGCCTTTTCTCCATCTATTCCACTACTGGATCCCAAAAACAGTTTTCCCATGGATTACCAACAAGTGGTAGCCCCAAGTATTTCAGTGGCCATTTCCCCACTTCACACCCCAATTATAATATTTTGTTCTTACTCTTGCTGCTATTTTTTGTCCTTTCAGGACAAACAAGGGGGACAAGTGGGCTTGACCGTCGACTGTGAATGGGCTGAGGCTAATTCAGACAAAATTGAAGACAAAATTGCTGCAGCTAGGCGCCTAGATTTTCAGCTTGGATGGTAATTACTTATTCCCTAATTATTTACTATTTGGTCACAGAACTACTGTTAACAAAAAATTTAGTATCTTCTATGTTGAAATTACCAACACACTAATGTGCTTGATTAAATCATCCCTAAGGTGAAAGTACATTCAAGAACTTATGTTGTTTTTTAATCACTTGGAGAACCATCTTCCATATTTCCTACATTGGTCAGTGTGAGTTATTCAATCCGAGAGACTAGGCCCGTGATAAATGACCAGGAAAAAAAAATTCCCTAAGGTGAAAGTACATTCAAGAACTTATGTTGTTTTTTAATCACTTGGAGAACCATCTTCCATATTTCCTACATTGGTTAGTGTGAGTTATTCAATCCGTGAGACTAGGCCCGTGATAAATGACCAGGAAAAAAAAATCCAGTGTTCGAAGCTTTAGAACTACTGAGCATATCCATCATTTTCATATATCATGCTACTCATACCGATTATCCTAGGATTCCCATCAACTTGAAATGTAACATAGCTGTCTTGCTGCTTTTGGTTAGAAGTAAATCATATTGAAATATACATTCTGGTTAAATCCTTGTAAGATATAATAGCTATGCTGAAACATATGAAACAGCAGATGGGCCGCACTGTTGAATGGGTGTCAAATGAGTTTAGCATTTTCAAAGGCAAAAAATTCTCACTGAACTGGGTTTTTCTCAGTACCTTTCTTTGAGTTCAGCTCTGCCCACCGCCCACCCAGGCAGTTTGTTAGATGAAATCAAATGGTTTTCTCTCCTGTAGTATTGTTTAGAATCCATCTCAACTAATTCCAAAGCAGGTTCTTAGATCCAATATATTATGGAGAATACCCCAAAGCTATGCGTGAAAGACTTGGAGATCGGCTTCCCATATTCTCAGAGAAAGATAAGGAATTGCTTGAGAACTCATTAGACTTTGTTGGTCTGAATCACTATACATCAAGATTTATTGCTCATGTAAGAGATAGCTCCGATGATGGTAATTTTTATAAATCACAAGAGGTGGAGAGAATTGGTAAAATTCTGTAACTACCACATCATTCATATTCAAAGCAAAAAAATTTCTCGATCCTTGTTTAATGTTCTCTCTTTATCATCAGCTGAATGGGAAGATGGTGAGGCTATTGGTGAGAAGGTATGAACTCTCTCATACACACACATTCCACTTACTGTGCTGCACACATGTGCCTTATAGGGTGCTTCCAGTCTTCTGAAAGATTTTGTGTTGCAGGCAGCATCAGAATGGCTTTATGTTGTTCCTTGGGGCATCCATAAAGTTCTGAATTACATAGCACAGAGATACAATAATCCAGCAATATATATTACTGAGAATGGTATGCATGGAGAGACTTTCCTAGGAAAATAAAATTGATTTGGAATTTAAATTGTAGTTTAATCTCACTTGGGAGCCAAGGAGTACATTCAGTCCCTGTTTGGTTAACGATTGGCTAATATTGTCCTTCTGCATTTACTTATTGTATAAACGAAATATAATCAAGAGACGAAGTCATAATTAAAATACTCCTGATTATTGATCTGGAAAATGACTTAATGCACCCTTGTCAGAAGTTGGTACAAACCATAGGAGTTTGCACTTATTCTACGTTATGATTTTTTTAATTTTCTTTTTCCGAACCCTATTACAGGTATGGATGATGAAGATGACACTTCCCCACTTCATGAAATGCTAGATGACAAACTGAGAGTTAGTTACTTTAAGAGATACCTTTCATCAGTTGCCAATGCAATAAGGTAGGTCGACTTCATTTTGTCCATTTTATCATATTCTTTCTTTGTAATGGTGGGTGCACTAATTGTTCAGTCAAATTGTAGTATAGGTCCTACACAAAACAGACTTTACAAATTCCATACATTAGCATATCATTCAGAGACTGCATGGAGCAGCTCTACCATCACAAGACAGAGTTCATGGCAGCATTATCTGTCTTGATGTACAGGGTGTTGGCGTTATTATTAGGTTTAGGGTTTATTATTTAATATAGTTGACTTTGTATACTTAACTTTTTTTATACTTTGTAGATCTTATAAATACCTCAGAATGAGAAGAATAAAATCATTCGATTCATTCAGATTTCTAGATGGTGCAATCGATCTGATTGGCTCTACTGCGATCTGAAATCCTAAAAAAACCATAAAACTCTCTACTGCTGCTGTACATATCTAGGGTTTTTCCCTTGTGTCGCCGCTATTTTTCCTTCCATATTTCTACTGCCGCCACACCTCTCTAGGGTTGTTTACCCTGCTTCTGTGTTGATGCAGCCTTCTAAACCTTCATCAAGGGTATACTGACTTTGGTGTTGTTACCTCTAACCCTAAACACAAAACCCAATTTTGTTGCCAATATGTCTATTCTTACTGTTGGAATCCCACATCGGTGGGGTGAAAGAAAACAAATGGGTTTAAATAGAATTACCTCGATATTAGTTAGAGTGAGGTAATTCTATTTAAACCCATTTGTTTTCTTTCACCCCACCGATGTGGGATTCCAACACTCCCCCTCACGTGTAATCACACGTGAAGATCCACACATCGGCAATTGAAACTCAGAGGTCGGCTCTTTTCAAGCGTCGTTGGCCTTTTTTTTTTCTTTTTTTCTTTTTTTTAATTTTAATTTTAAGAGTCCGACTTGTTTCTCCTTCTTGGTGACAAGCTTCATTAGCTTGTACGAACCTGGCTCCGATACCATGTTGAAGTTTTTTGGGTCTGCCCAATGGGTCTCACTCTAACAACACCGATGCTATCATGGTTGCTGCCTTTCTTATTAATCAGATGCCCTCTCGTGTCTTGGATTATCAAACTTCACTTCATATGTTGTTTACCTTTCATTTGATCCCTAGTCTCTTTTCCCTAGATCCTAAGGTGTTTGGATGTGTCTGTTATGTTCATATTCACTCGATCCACATTGACAAATTGGATCCCCAGGCTCTCAAGTGTGTTTTCTTGGGCTACTCTTCTACCCAAAAGGGTTACGAGTGTTTTCATCCTCCCATGAGCAAGTACTGTCTGCATGGATGTTGAGTTTCAGGAACACACTTCTTATTTTTCTCAGGATGTCCCCAATTCTCCCCTTCATGGGGAGCATCTAGTGCATTTGGAGTTTAGTGATTATTTGACAGAGTTACTAGTTGATGAGATTTTGGGCTTGAATCAAAGTGGGGCAGATTTACAAACAGACATTGAACCTTAGGGGGAGTCACCTTCGGCTATAAAGGGAAATGAGAATTACAAGGTTCTCTAATCTCTTCCCCCTATTTCAGCTCCTATGGTCTACGAAACGTATCGAAAGAGAGAAATTTTCGACTGATATTGTATCTACTGAAGTTGATGAAGTTGATTATGCAGCTAACCCTTCTCTTGATACCACTCCTTTATGCCAATTGGCTTCCTGTGAGCATGCGTTTGTAGTAGCACCATCTGAGGTACAAACATCTAATCCTTCTCTTTTGTCTGTTAATCCTAACAATTCCGAGTCTCTTTCTTTGAACCCAATTGGTGACGATCAAGAGCGGAGATGCACATCCCGCGTGAGGAATAAACTATATCGTTTTGTTTTCTCCTCTATTTTGTTTACCCTATTTCTGACTGTGTCCTATCATCGTCTTTCTAAATCTCATCTAGCCTTTGCACTTCACTTGACTTATGTGTCTTCCTAACTCTTTTCGAGAAGCTCTAGAAGATTCAAAGTGGAAATCTGCAATGGTAAAGGAAATGAAGGCTCTCCAAGCAAATGGTACATGGGATATGCTTAATATTCCTGATGAGAAGAGGACTGTAGGTCGTAAATGGGTGTTTACAGTCAAGCATAAACTATATGGATCAATTGAGAGGTACAAAGCACGGCTTGTGGTAAAGGGTTAATACTCAAATTTATGGAGTCGACTACTTGGAAATGTTTGCTCTGGTAGCCAAGATGAACACAATTTAGGTAATCTTACCCCTTGCCGCAAACTTGGATTGGCCATTACGCTAGTTCGACGTTAAGAACACCTTACACGGAGACCTACAAGGTCCTTCTTTAGGGTTTGCACCAAAGGAGGGAAAAGTGTGTAAGTTAAGGCACTTCATAGTCTAAAACAATCACTAAGAGCTTGGTTTGGGTGATTAAGTCGATCTATGAAGGATTATGGGTTCAAACAATCTCAAGTTGACTACACTCTGTTCGTGATCTAAAACAATCACTAAGAGCTTGGTTTGGCTGATTAAGTCGATCTATGAAGGATTATGGGTTCAAACAATCTCAAGTTGACCACATTCTGTTCATAAGCGTGGTGGTGACAAGATTACTATGTTAATTGTGTATGTGGATGACATGGTGGTTACACTAAACAATACACGTGAGATTGAAGAACTCCATAGTTAGCTAAAGAGTTCGAGATGAAGGATTTAGGAGCTCACAAGTATTTCTTAGGAATAGAAGTATCTTGTTCTAAGCAAGGGATATTTTTATCTCAACGCAAATACAGCCTAGATCTCATGGCCAAGAGTGGCAAGTTAGCATGTGAACCTGTTGACACCCCAATAGTGGTGAACCACAATTTGACAATTGATCCAGACCAAGTACCAACAAGGAGAGATACCAACGGCTGGTTGGGAAATTAAATATTTGGCTCACACTAAACATGATTTGTCATATGCAATTAGTGTGGTAAGTCAGTTCATGCCTAACCCAAGTATTCAGCATATGGAGGTTGTAGACCGTATAATTCAGTATTTGAAGTCATCTCTTGGTAAAGGAATCTTGTTCTCTAAGAATGGAAACTTGATTATGGAGGGTTACATAGACTCTGATTATGCAGGATATAAGTTTGATAGGAAGTCTTTATCTGGTTATTCATAGGAGGCAATCTAGTAACTTGGGAGAAGCAAGAAACAAATTGTGGTGTCTTTGTCTAGCGCAGAAGCTTAATATCGAGCCCTTCATCATGCTATGATAGAGTTGATTTGGTTGAAGATCCTAATGAAGGAACTTGGATTTGGCCCTATGAAACCAAAGGTGTTGTATTGTGATAATACAGCAGCCATTAAAATTGGTAATATTCCAATCCAACATGACACACCAAACATATTAAGATTGACAAACATTTCATCAAGGATAATATTGTGAACGGCATAATTATTGTGCCTCACATCAAGAGAGCAGACCAGCTAGCCGACATGATGACCCTTGCAGTTTCTAGCAAAGACTTCCATACATCACTATTCAAGTTGGGCGTGTGTAATATCTATGCACCAACTTGAGGGTGAGTGTTGGCGTGATACATTAGGTTTAGGGTTTATTATTTAATATAGTTGACTTTGTATACTTACCTTTTTTGTATACTTTGTACATCTTATAAATACCTCAAAATGAAAAGAGTAAAATCATTTGATTCATTCAAATTTCTAGATAGGGTTAGGCTGTGAAAATATGCATGTGTACAATTGTTTTTTCTTCACGGTTTGTGATATTTGGAATTCCCCTGAAATATGAAGTCCAAAAAATCTAGAGAGTTGGTGTGTGCTATGACTTTGTGGATGTGAATTGTAAAGGGTCGACTTCTCTGTTTGTGTGAAAAGCTCAAGTGGGTTCTCTCAGAGACACATAGAAACAAGAAGTGAAGGCAAAAGAAGAAGAAGGGTGTTGCTAAAGGGTGTTGAGGCTGAAGCTTCATTGCCGACCAAAGCAGACTATGTTAGGAGTGTGTGTGAGAGAGATGGAATAGAAGCTTAAAGGTTTCTAGGGGTGTTTTGGCGTCTGATAGGTTTTGGTGTTTGTTGGGCTTCGCGGGTAGTGTTTTGGTTTTAATAGGAGAGAAAAAAAAAAGTGGGTATTTTGGCACTTAGGAAAATTAAATATGGGTATTTTCGGCATTTTAAAAGTTTCATTAAAGGGAGCCAAGTGATTCTCGTGTTTTTGTCCTGCGGCGCTTTTAAGAAGAAGCACCTCTCAAGTGCTTCTTCCAAAACCACTCCAAGTGCTTTTGGATCTCACCCAAAGTGCTTTTGCAATTTTTGCCAAACACCATTTTTAAAAGACAGAAGCGCTTTTACCCATTTAAAAGTGCTTTTCGCTGCTCCAAAAGCACTCCCAAATAAGCTCTATTACATAGATGGGTTACTAGGAGACTTGGGTGGCTTGGACCTCCTCACCTGCACGCGGGTGTCATCCAATCAAATTGAAAATGTTCCACAAATGGAAGCCGGGTTTGTAACTAATGGAAGAACCTTGGATATTATGAAATTCCCTCCCTTGAGGACCTAATCCCTATGCAAAATGTCAAGAAAACAATATAATTGGTAGAAAAGGGCACGAATCTCTATTTAAATTCACCAGTAAACTTATCTATTTTTCTAGTGGAAACTGTAAATGGGCATAGACATAGAGCCAAACAGATGAAGTAGCCCAGCAAATAGGTGTGACTTGAACCCTTAAGCCTCGTTTGTTACACATGACTGTCTTGGCATGGACTCTGCTTAGGGACTGTCTTGGATTGGCTTGGCTTGGTTTAAGCTGGATTACATGTGTGTATGCTTGGACTAGGACTAAATTTTATTATTTTTAAAAATTTTAAAAACAGGGGCAGAATTATTATTATTATTTTTTTTCAACTTTTCTTTTCCCTCTGCATCTCTTTCTTCTTCGTCTTCCTCCTCCGTCTTCTCCATCCTCTCTCCTACTCCTCTTATTCTTAGTCTTTTTTTATCTGTGCTTTTTTTTTGCTGGAAATTTTTCTCTCATTTACTTGTCTTCTCCTTCTTCTCCGTTTTCTCCCTCAACTCGCGAAGCTGTTGTCGCCTACAACCCTAAGTCTGAGCTATGAAGTCCTCGTCGTCTGCCATTGGTGCCAATCGAACCGTATGGCTGAGATGGTGGTTTTTCTTAACATCTGAGTTTTGAATGGAAGTCAAATTTTATAGTTTTGGATTTGGGGCTGAGTTTTGAATGGATCTAAGTTTGAATGTTCTTGGAGTTAGGTTTCTAGTCATATTTTTGTTGTTTCCCAGAAATTTGATGAAGAAGCATGATGGTATGTATATTATACATACAAGAATATGAGATGCATCTTCTTTCTGCTAGTTATTTTTATTCTGGCTGCGATGGTGGGAGGTTTGGAACGGTTGCAGGCGCTCGACGATAACAAGGGACTATTTGTCCCCCCTATCTACACGGGCTTCAGTAACACCACTTAAGGAGGTGTTTTTGGTGGGACCAGTACTAGTAATCCCACTTAAAATTAGTACCAAGTAAAACAAACATGAGATAAAAAGTTAGTACAAGCCAGTCCAAGCCTAGAAGGTGTACCAAACAGGCCCGTACAGCTAAGTGAGAACTACTCCAGTCATACAAATTCCAGGTTGAGTCCTCTGACCACAGGACTGATCCCTTTAATAATTATCCTAGACCTTTCCAGAAGGGCCCCTTTTTCCCATACCACATTAATAACAACTAGTTCCCAAGGCAACATTAATAACAGCTAGACAGACTCTTTAGACTCCCAATAGAACATTAATAACCAATAAACAAACTCCCAATACATAATAACAATGAGACAGACTTAGTAATTTTTTCCAGGAATCTCTCAAAAAGTGTTATCCCCGTTACATGAGAGTTTCTCTCCTCTCAAAGATCTTGTAAGATCTATTTACTGCATCAGAAAGACTAGACATAGATGACACATTTGAAAACTCACAACATAGCTTCACTTGATCAAGTTTTCTTCATCTTGAGTGTGCACTCATTTTTTTTTTTCATTTTGCACTCATATTTTACCACTGTGTGAACATCAGTGTGCGAACTATGAAATCCTATAAGGTAACAAGAAAAAGCAATGCTGTAACATTTTTCCTGGACAGGGATGGAGCAGACGTGAGGGGATACTTTGCGTGGTCATTACTGGATAACTTTGAGTGGGCTCAAGGCTATACCAAGCGTTTTGGTTTAGTTTACATCGACTACAAGAATGAGCTCTCTAGGCACCCAAAATCTTCAGCCTACTGGTTTTTGAGGTTCTTTAAAGGTGGTGAAGGGAAACATGGCAAGGAACAGTAATGGAAAATTTAGCTGACAATTGCCATCCATGAGAGGGACTGCCCAGGAACTTTATCTTTTCACGTACCAACTTAAACTGCTTGCTGCTTCAATTGGTTTCAAACCAATGGACTCCTCTGGAACTCGTTTTGAGCTTTTGTAAGTCACCCCGAAGTGTATGTACTAAGACTTTTTTATCCCTGAATATGTCTGTGTTCTTTATTCATCTTGGAAACATATGATCGAGTTGACTAACTCTTCTATCTCCTTTTTCATGTGGCTTACCGACTTCCATAATGAATTTGAATGTATTATCATTGACAATTTATGACCAGAGTTATAGTCATAAGAATGTCTAGTTCACAACCTTATGAACACAAAGGTCTACCCCCGCCCCACCAATTCCCCCACCTATCTACTCATCTATCACTGCCACTCCAATCCCCCCAGCTCTGCTCATCTACTCATCTATTGACAGCCAGAGCCGCACCCACACAGCTACTCTCTATATCCACCGTGTTTCGTATGATCGCCTCCTCCCACGACCATACCCACCCTACAGTCATAATACACCCCAGGGGACCAAGGACCAAAGTATCACCATTTTAGAGAAAGATACAACCCCATGCATAATTCTACACTATCTAAGACATTGAAGGGTAAGGTTCCTTCATGGAATAATTGACCATGAAGTTGGCATCATGATGGAGGGTGTCGTCCAAGTCAGAGTCTGGTAAGAAGAGCATGGCATTTTAACTCATATCTACAAAGTGAAAACTAGGGCAAATGGACCACCTTTTTTTTTTTTTTTCAGTCAAGTGGCAAATGGTCATTAGCACCAGGAAAACAAACATTTTATGTAGCGTTAAATTCAAAATATATTCCCATCTTATGATTCCGTTTCTACTCTCATCATTTGTGCAACATAGCAAAGATCAAAGCCCTTGCATTATTGGAATATTAAAAGTTAGCATCTTCGATTGCAAATGATACTAATTTACAGATATATACATCATACAGATATGATCCACATTACAACCTTGTTGCCACGATCAACAAGATGATACACGTGTCCCTCCTTAAACCCCCCCTGATAAACTACCAATTACACAACCTAAACGATAACTTAATTCCTAGCCTAGGGGAAAAGGAATCAATTTTTTTATAACAAAAAAAGAATTTTTTTTTTTTTATAAAGAAAAATACCTAATGAAGGAAAAGAATATTCCCAATTCTCAGTAGAGCATCATACAGACTACACTATAAAGTCCTCTTCAAGTATCTGCCTTCCCTAGGTAAGATCAGAAGTCTGATTTCATGAGCTTTACTCGAGACCTTATGTTAACGTTGTCAAAGGGCTTTGCCTGTTCTACATGGATGTAATCCCTTGTCTTAAGAACCTGCAAAACAGTGAGTACAACCACGAGAAAACCAGATTATTCAGCATTTACAGAGTTTGAACAAGAACATATAATTATACCAAACCAAAGATTAAAATTAATGAAATCAAAAACCAGCAAACCCGTCCACTAAACTACTTACATTGAAAATTATAAACCAAAAGTATATCCAGAAAAGAAAAAACAAACAAACAAACTTGATGCAACGTACATTGGTATTGCACCACGCAGAATACACAAAGCCAGCTAAAATAAAGAAAAATTGCAAAAACACCTATTGACCTACATCAACTTGTCCTCAGATCCATCCCATCATCAATCTTAGATCTCTCATTGTCACGCATTGACCTCCTAAACCATCTTGTGGTAATTCATTAATGTTTCCTCCTCACTAGTGCCTAGAAGCTGAGGTCTTATCTGCATCCACTAATTATCGGTGCTTATGGATGAGTATGCTGATACTTGTCCTCCTTTTGTCATGGAATAAATCTTCTCTTCATACTCCTAGGATAGAAATCTACAAGTAACCAATCTTCGGGTTAATGATACTACGTGCTATTCTGGCTTCAGAACCACAATTTGTGTCTTAATGAACTGTTCAAATGTTAGTAAGTGCCATCATTCCTATATAAAAGATAAAACAATAAAATAAAGTTGTAGTATCATCAGCCTTTCTAATTTCTTTACAGAAAAGTAAAGGCTTGCCCAATCCCTACTACTAATACTTCAATTTCTACTGTCTTTTATAGATTCTAAACTACAGTATTATCCAATACTCCCTTGCATCTGCTTCTCATGATCATAAAACTTTGACCTTGTGTTGCAACTATGACAATCCCAGTTTCAATATAAAAGACAAACAATTTCTATGTTACCAAGAAAAACATCCACATAAGCTCTATTTAAACCTTGTCAATAAAACATGTCATCTATTCCAATAGTTCAGGAATTTATCAAGAGAAACTATAATTTCAATCCTTGAATGACTAACACCCAATTTTTCACAATGTATTACAAAACTATCATATTACCATCCAATATAGCAGTGAAAAACTATTCTATTGTCATAATAATTGCTGCTCTAATCTATAAACCTTGTCAATAAAACATGTCATCTATTCCAATAGTTCAGGAATTTATCAAGAGAAACTATAATTTCAATCCTTGAATGATCCCATATAGCAGTGAAAAACTATTCTATTGTCATAATAATTGCTGCTCTAATCTAGCTTCAAAGGTATTGTTTTAGCTCTGCTAATTTCATGTACATGCTTATCGAGTTCCCAAGATTGTACTACATAAATGATATATTACAAAACACACTTACATCCTAATTGATCCTCTGACAAAAGTACAGGAGATTACCAAGATAAAAGAAAACCTGAACATAACGATGATTATAAGACTTACCAATGTTTCAAAAAACATCCTTGATGCTTCCTTACGAGTTTTACCATTTAACAGACTATCCATGCCAAGAACCCTTTTCCCGTTAACAGCTTCCTTATCGAATAAAGTTTGGAGATACTTGGCAACGGCTCTACAAGAAAAACACAAGTTAGTTTTTAATAAAAGAAAAGTGATATCACAATGTATGATAACGATAGACAAAATCAAATATCCCAACAGAACATTCATCAATTTTGAATTTAAATACACTAGTCATTCTCGGAAAAAGAAATGTATCATCTAGGAACTACGACTTCAGAGTGCTAGAGACAGACAGACAGACAGACAGACAGACAGAAAGGAAATATCCGAAGTTGCCTATTAAAAGTCATTAAATCAAGGTATGGAGCCCTGGCTTAACTCAAACAAAAATCCAATTTATTTCATATTGTAGCAATGCTTCAAATCACAAACTTGCAGTACCACCTTCAGTGGAAATACGTGCAAACCAGCAAAGAACTCCACTGACTTGCAATAAAACGAAAATAGCAGCATGCATTGAGCCTAGCAGTGACCATATGAAGCACACGCACCTGGTGCGGGAAGACCACCCACTGTTCTCAAGAAGACGCGTGTCTTCAGCACAAGGCATGTCATCGACATCTTCAACTATATCATCATCATCTACATTCAAAAATTCTGAAAAGAGGAATGAAAATGTGTTATTCAAAGGAACCTCAGCACATTAGTGTGAGTGCAAAAGAGTATTTTTATTATAAATGTGGAAACACTAGTACAAAAAAGCATGTAGTCAACAAATATGTAAGGCACAGAACATGGCACTAGGTGGGTCGGTAGCATTTATTTCCAGTCCAGGCTTTAGTCCAATAGAGTTGACAAAGGAGCTTTAAAGGGCCGAAAATGTACAAGGAGTACAATCATAATAATGCATAAATAGTTTTGTGTGCTATGTGTATAGTCCATGCAGACAAAATCCTCATAAAAGTAGGTCCTGAGAAGGGAATGTAGAAATAAGACAGGCCGAAAGATATAAATGAGAAAAAATCAACAAGGCAGGAAGGAGAAACTTAACCTGTATCATTTCCCAAAACTACATCTTCAAAATGCTGCACAATATAGCCAAAAAGTGAAGTTAAAAGCACATATAAAACTTATAAAAGGGGCCTTTAGATCAAACTAAGAAAAAAGCAGAACTCTGAATGCAATTTTTGAACATATAATAAAATCAAGCAATCCCCTGTGCAATCAGGAGTGAAATATGGCAATCAATAAAATGAAAAAGAGGGCTGAGAAATTATTTTTTGCCTGGCATGGCAAGGGAATGCAGCAAATACTTGTCAAAGTGGGCATGCAAAATAACTTTCAGAATTTCAGAGAAATAATGTTCGCAACTCACACCAAAATCTTCTACAGGGTGTTCTGTGGTGACTTCTGCTTCAATGCCACTCTGTAGATCAGCCTCCGGAGAACCTAGACTTTCCTTACCATTTAAGGGAGCAATGTTGTCTCTATCACCAAGCATGCAACTAGACTTTGGGTCCTTGTCATCACAACCAAAGTTTGCATCCAGGACCTCAGTTTCATTCCCCATATGTTGCTCATTATTTCCAATTTCTTCCACTGGTTGATCATTTGAAAAACTAAGGTTTTTGCATTCTTCAGTTTCAAGAGATACAGTTGCAAGCGTAGCATTTATGTTGTCAGTGAGATCAGAAAATCCTATCTGAATATCTGCTCTGATTTCAACAGTATGCTCAAAAGCATCAATAGCATCAGCTCCTTTCTGAATACTTGCATCCACCTCCATGGGTTGAGCATCCAACTTCTTACCTGGTGACATGCATAATGCGTCCATCTGCAGTGACGCATCTTCATCATCAGTTTTTTTATCCATAAGCCTTGACTGGACATTAACATCAGTTGACACATTGTTAACATCTCCTAAAACAGGATCAGCAACTTCAAAAATCTCTTTTTCAATTTCCATTTCAGCTATCTCCCCGGAGGGTTGATGTTTGCAAGTATTAAATTCTTCTAGGTCAGTAATCCCCTGCTCTTGAGCATCAGTATCCTGAGATCTTCGATTATGATCTTCAGCCTCCTGGTTTTTGTTCTCAATAGGAACACCAGCAGGTTGTGCTTCCAGATCATCTGTCACTTTTACAGGTTCAGTGCTTCTAACGGGTTCAATTTCTTTACTTACATTTAGCCTGGCATAAGCCTCTACATCCTTCAGTAACTCCGCCGAAGCACTGTCTTGATCATTTTCAGAAACCCTGGTTCTACTTAGATCAAATGTTTCTGTGTGCAGAAATATTAGTTCCACTGACATGCCTGTTAGACATCAAAACTAATTCAGGTGGCTTGTAAAGATTTGTCAAGAACAGCAATCATTCATAGAGCTACCAGTCTCCCAAAATAAACCAATAAGTGATACACAGTGATTGTATATGTGTACGTCTAATTACATGTGTGCATATTAGATTAATCTCTGGTATCACCAACTTACCAGTAAGTACAGGTACAGTGAAAATATCATCTTCCAAAAATTGTCTTTGAATCATTGAAATTTCTGGGCGAGTACAAGGAGCCTTCTTTCTCACACGACGTATGTCTTCAGTATTCGTCAACTGCTGGCGTATTGTACTTCAGAAGACCAGAAGGCAAGTAGTTAGTGCCTAAAGAGAGAGAGAGAATCTAGCATGCAACAACATATACTATTAAGATGCTTAATATGATTATCTTATCTCAGAGCCCGCTGAGCATTTAAAGGAAAACTACCACTCAGCCAAGAAGCACTCTACTAAGATAAACATACCGCTGCTACACTTCTAAGGAACAAAATGTCAAATTTCCCATGGGAACATGCTGGTTGACAAAGAGCCCAACCATAGGCTTCTATGTCAAGTCATGTTGACGACTTAAGACCATGAAACAAGTAGATCATTAAGAGATCAACATTGCATTGACGTACACGGATAAAAGACTCAATTTATACAAACTTAGTAGTAAAGGCATTTTATATCATAGAGGTCTTAAAACAAGCAGCAAATATTCTTCAATATAAGACACTTTTGTTCTGTTAAATAAAATAAAATTACAACAGAATGGTCTATGAACCAAAGATGAGATTGGTCAAAATTAGTTGGGAGATATATGAATTCAAACAATGTAGATATATGGAAACTGTCACATACTCGCCATGCAAGACCATTGTATCATCCATTAGCACTTTCCTCTTTGAGGCAGTACTGCGAACAGCAATCCGGGAGCGTTTTGCGCATATTATGTCAGGTGCAAGTGGAGTGGGTTTCATTTTTAAAACTGAAGATCGTCTTCCAACTGAAACAACAAGAATTACAGTTCAGTCATAATCATATAAGCGTAAGAATATTCTTCCAAATGAAGATCCAGGGAAAAGAGAAAGAAAGTTGTCACAATGATCTATCAACTCATTTGACCGGTCATAACACAAATTGGCATGTAGAATATTCTGAAGGCATGAAGAAAGATCCATTTAGATACCTAAAATAGAAGACAATAAATCATCATCATCAGGGATGGATTCTGCAGTTCTCTTTCCTCGGGCCTCTCCAAATGATTCAACTGAATTTAAACTCTGCACTGTCATAGTACTTTCTGTGGAACTACGTTTTTTCCCTGAGATGAGTTTGATCCCAGTATCATCACCAACATCCCCACCTATGATTTCTTTGTCAGGCGTAGATTCCATTAGAAAATCACTTGGTTTCGAAGTGAACCCCTCTGGTACAGAGAGCAATTTTTCAGGTGCAGGCAAGTCAGAATTGGCAGACCTATCCAAATTCTCAAATTGATTGTCAAAAGATGTTGCATTGTCCAAAGAACTTGGCCCAACAACCTCTAAAGGTAAGTTACCAGGAATTTCTGAAATATTTGCAGGAGATAGCATATTACGATGATTCGGGACGGAGTTGCATGCCCGGAGTACAGGCACTTCAGCAAGTGACATCTCCTCATGAGTAACAGGATTTAAAGAATCTTTAATGTTAAGTGTGCATGATTCTCCCATATTATTAGCAATTTCAACGTCATTCTGCATTTCAGGCTTTAAAGATGTCTGTTGGTCCTCCAAATAATCCTCTGACACTCTCGCACAGGAACTATTTGAACAAATCTTACGAGCAGGGTCCTCTAATTCATATGTGACCTGGGAGCAGCTAGGAGATGCAACAGTTTCATCCAACCTAACTACTGCAGGTTCTACACTTTGTGCATCCTTTTGATCAAGGAAGAGCATAGCAGGTTCATTGTTTATTACAATACCATTATATATATCTTCCACCCTGTTTGGACAATCCAAAGCGCCAACTGTCCCATTTGCACATTCTAATACTGGAGAAATGGGTTTAATTTGCTCATGCTCATGTGGCTTTGCTTGCTTGATCTCCATATCGCCCAACTGGTAGCCGTTCTCCTCATTCAAAACCATTGTACTATCATCCCCACAACGCGGACCTGGCACACTACAAATATTTTCTGGGCTGCGAATTGCTGCTAAGTTTGATAAATTATGGTCTTCCAAATCCAACTGATCATTGCACGCCATAGGTTCCTGAACACCAGACAGGTTTGGCTCTTCAAATAGTCCAGGAGTTGATGGAGCCTGAGCATATGTGACATTTTCAGTACTTGCAGCTAGGACTTCATTCTGTTCAAAAGGGATAAAAATATTCATCACTGAGGCAAGATTGTATTATACAGGTTGGCACATAAATCACACCTCCCTCCACCCCTTAACAACGAAAGAATAGAATAGAACCATGCTTACACACAAGAAACGACAATAAATTAGGACAAAACAGAAAAAAGGGTGTTTTGGGGTAGTATTAATAAACCTCGTTTCCAATCCCATTCATTTGCATGGTTTCTGAAGTTCCAGGTATCCCCTCATAAATTTCATGCTTTTCCGGAGGTGTTGTAGATTGGACCAAAGCCTGCAGATCACC